CCTCCCTTTATAAAATTATTAAATATTTAGTCAGGAATTTAATCTTTATAATTACAGATTTATACAGAGCAAAGAAATAAGATAATTTCCTCGTTTCTTTGATAGAAGAATGCCATTATATATTTTTTTTATAATTCTAAAATAATCTAAATAGGAAAAAAAACGTTTTTACACGACTGGAAGATCATCTATAACAACTATTCATGCAATAACTTATTTAATCTTTTAAAAAATAGACTTAAAAACACGTTTTTTTTAAATCCTTCTTCCTCGTCTACGTTTCTTCTTCCATTATAATTTTAGCTGCCGTGATTTATAATACACACAAAATCAACATTATAAAACAAGTGACGCATTATCTGTCATGTGTATGATATATAAATTAAAACAGGTTTAAGATTATGTAGAGTTTATTTTCTGTTGTTAGAATGTCCGAGTCATCACAAATCTTCGTTATTCTGTCAAAATAACAATTCAAATTATTCTATTCTTTTATTAAACACGTGTAATGACTAGGAAAAAAATTTGTTCTTTAAATTCTAACGTATTTCCAGTATTTTTTAATAATATTTTTTAAAAAATAAAAATGTTTATTACTTATTTGGAATATGATTTAAACGGGAATAGTAGGTTGTTTAGTACCACACCCCTGCATCCAATGACGGATTACCACCTCGATGACGTCAAAACGGACGGTGTCGACAGTACCCGAAACATGATACCGGAAGTGGGAGGAGTGATAGAAAAAGGAAAAGCGGCTGACGTCACAACAGCTGACATTTTTGGTCCTTTACATCCTAATCCAGCTGCAGAGTTTTAACGCCAATACGTTAAAATGGTGACTATTTAATGATATAAAATATGTTTGTAATGTATTAAAGCTGTTAATATTATAAAACTTATAACCCATAAAGTTATTTAATATAATTGGATAAGCATAACTCTCTCTCTCTCTCTCTCTCTCTCTCTCAGATTGATATTAATTTTACATGTATTATATAGATACTAGCTCTTTAGTTTATGCAAATAATTGAAGCATATCCTGTTGATTTTATTATATCAAATATATTATATAGTAAATACTAGGTTATTCTGTTTATTTCAGCTGAAAGTAGAAGGAAAAATTGAGTGAGATGAATACTATAAGCTCTACAATCCCGGATTTATTCGCATCGTTCCTATGACCGAGAAAATGGGAACGTTTAGTAAAACAAAAGAGAGGAAACGATCGGATTTGTGTTTCCTCTTTTTATTAAGATGAATACGGTTTGCTGTAAAGAATCTGAAAATGGATATGTGGTAATGGGAGATGTAAAGCATAAATATATACATATATATATACGATCGAGTTTAAAGTAGAAATTTACCTATACTTTCAGTAATAAAATGAAGAATGTAGTTAATCAACTGTTCACTAGTTTAATAGATTTATAAGATAGATAATCCCAAAGACTCAAATACAATTTAAAAGAAATCAAAGATGAAATAAATTGTTCTTATTCGTAACCTGATGCGTTAGACAAATTTCGTGGAGTTGGGATTTATAGCATTGTCTCTACTGAACATAAAGTCATTAAGATAATCTTATTATTTACCTTTAAACAGTATTAAGAGTTTTTATATTATTATCATTATCGAGAAAGAGAGAGGAAATGCGAAGCTAACAAATGGTTAAAGTCATCACCGAGAATCTATAAAGGCAATGAAACAGTCATTAACTTATTCTAATGGAAAAGCCCTGTCATTGCTTTAGACCTTTTAATATTTTTGTGATTTAGTCGAGGATTTCCTCTACTAATTTTATTTTATTTGTATTCTCCTCTTTATGATTTTGTTAGAAGTTTTATGAATGGCTCTTTCGTCTAACAAACGAAGCTCTAGGGCGTTCGCTTTGGGTAATATTTAAACTAAGACCCGATGTTGTATAGGGTGTAGCTAATTTTCTGAAAGCCAATCTCGGCGCCTTATTGACAGTAAAGGGAATGAATTTAATGGCATTAGTGTATCCTCCCTTTTATTCGGAGACACGAACTAACTGTATGGTTATACGGCTATGACATTGTCGCGTGCCAACAACGCCTAGACCATAAAAAAAAAATAAGAGGGAATATAGAAATGACGAAACTCGTGGGTCAAAAAGTTAAAGATGCACTCTCCCTTCAAGTCTTTTTCGACTAAAGTAATTAAATCTACTATTTTCTCTGGGTAATCCTTTATATTAAAAAAAATTATATAACTTACAGGCCTATTAAATATCAAGTTATTCTTAACATTTTTCACATTAATCTGTAATTTTCTTAATGATTTATCTTGTCCTTACACATATTATATAGTAAATAAATGAATATAATTTTTATAAAAGCTTATATGCTACTATTTATATATGATTTTGGATTTATTTATTTTTCGAAAATTATTATAAATTAGATATAATTATATAATTAATCATAATTATAGATCCTACAAATTACTAAGTAGATATATCAAACGTTCATTATGCAAGAAGCTGAAGAAAATAAAAATTCCTAACGACTAAAATTAATAAAAAAAACTTCCTATTATAATTAATAAAATTAGTTGTAATTAACAGATTAAAAAAAAAAAGTTATTTGTACCATTTGCAATTAAAGGAGAGAAGAAATTCTCATCTGGAATTCTTACTCGTGATCAAAACAATAAAGGTACATTTTTATAAATTCACTACTTCATTTTTGTCAACGACGATCTAGTTAGAATTTATTGTGTAACCTATTGTAACAATATCTACTGGTAGTGTTTATTAGTTTGGTCGCCTTTTTTTTTTTTTAGTTTTTGAATAGATAGGGTGAGAAAAAGCAGACCAAACTAGATCTACTTATTGCCAGTACTTTAACCCTTCGACTGAGAGTAATCACCTTGTAATTAGGCAGCAGTCCTCGTGTAATGACCATGTCTACTTGACATTAAGTGGCAATTCTGTTATGGAACGTAGGATCAACTCCAGTTGCAAAGAATAGACTTCAATTTTTTTTTATTAACATTAAAATTAGTTGTTAATTTATAATTGTAAACGGATAAATTCTGTGTTAAATACCGTATTTAAAGAAATAATTTCGATGTTTTTATTTAAATTGTTATAAGATTTCTTAATATTTTCAAATAAAATAAAAAATTCGATTGAATCATTTTTAATATATTGTTTCCATTGTAGTTTATACACTGATAAACTTCGTTACGTTGAGCGTTGTTACAGATTATTCAGTTCTTGTATAATATACAATATCTTTAGGCAAAAAATAATAATAATAGAGCAGTGAAGATAGAGCTAAATTCTCACAGCCAGTATTGATCGAGCCTACTAATCATTGGTGTGGGGAGAATAAAAGGAAAAGGCAGGGTGCATCAAAGCTATTAGGTAGAAGTCTAACGAAGCAAGATGTCACGTGGACCAGCGCTTGCTATAGTTATGGATCTGCCCAATATTTGGAGGTGGTAGTAGGCATTCAGCAGGTGTTC